CCCCACGGTCCCGACTCGCCCACCCCTCCTCGAGGCATCCTTCGGGAGACACGCCGACTTCCGCCTGGGCCTCCCCTCTCTTCCAGGTCGCTTCCTTCAGCGACCCCGACTTCCTCAAGCAGCTGGAGATGTCCATCAAGTACGGGACCCCCTTCCTGTTCCACGATGTGGACGAGTACATCGATCCTGTGATTGACAACGTCTTGGAAAAGAACATAAAAGTCTCCCAAGGGCGGCAGTTCATCGTCCTAGGAGACAAGGAAGTCGACTACGACTCCAATTTCAGACTGTACCTGAACACCAAGCTGGCCAATCCCAGATACACCCCGTCAGTGTTCGGGAAAGCTATGGTGATCAACTACACTGGTGAGCACGTGCGGACCCTCAGTTGCTAATTAAGGCGGTGAGCGCGGTGACCACAATGGTGGCCCCAGGCCACTCTCTCAGTCGCCTCTGGACGGGTCAGCTCTTGGTGGCAAAGCAGTATCTGGAAGGCCTGGGGGCCTCTGGAAGCCATGTGCACACGTCTGGAGGCGTTCTGAGATAGGACGCCGGCTGCTCCTGTGTTCGCATGCGAGTGGGGTGAGACCTGTCTGCCGGGCGGGAAGCTACTCTCTATTCATGCATTTAAGGATGGACTGGGGTCTGAGTTTTTCTCCTTCCTCTCAGTTGAGTTCTGATAGGAATTAGAGACCATCTCAACATTCTCTAGTGGTGTCATTTAGCTGCTTGAGTTGGTTAACTAGATTCAAGTACACTTTAGAAACCTCCAACATGTGGGAGCCCTGGGTTTTATTTTAGTGCCTCTCTCTCTCTCTCTCTCTCTCCTTCTCCTTCTTTTGAGACAGGGTCTTCCTCTGTCACCCAGGCTGGAGTACAGTGGCGTCAGAGCTCACTGCAGCCTTGATCTCCTGGACCCAAGTGATCCTCCAGCCTCAGCCTCCCGAGTAGCTGGGACTACAGACACGTGCCCCTGTGTCTGGCTGGTTTTTACAATTTTTGCCCAGGCTGGCCTTGAACTCCTGGCCTCAAGTGATCCTCCCACCTCAGCCTCCCAAAGTGCTAGAGCCACAGGCTTGAGCCACTGCACCCAGACACACCTTCACCCTTTCAGTCCCCCACTCCACATGGCGACATCACCCATTGGCTCTTTGGAGTGACTTTGGTAGGAAGTGAGTCTTGCGCTTAGACCCGCCCCGAGCGTGTCCCTCCACAGCGGTGCGGGGCGCAGATGTGGCGTCCAGCTTGTGGGGCTCCCGGGCACCGAAGGCCCCCCGTTGTCCCCCACAGTGACGCTGAAGGGCCTTGAGGACCAGCTGCTGAGCGTGCTGGTGGCCTGCGAGCGGCGGGAGCTGGAGGAGCAGAGGGAGCACCTCATCCGGGAGACCAGCGAGAACAAGAACCTGCTCAAGGACCTGGAGGACTCGCTGCTGCGGGAGCTGGCCACCTCCACGGGCAACATGCTGGACAACGTGGAGCTGGTGCAGACCCTGGAGGAGACCAAGTCCAAGGCCACAGAGGTCGCCCCCGCGGGGGAGCATACCGAGCGG